AAGTTTTTAGTGGTGTTAGATACATTGTCTCCTTTAGTTTTCCTAAAAATTTCAAGTGCCAGGTATTATATTACATGTTTGATCTTATTTCATTCCTTAGAGCAACCCTGTGAAACTGATCAATTAACTTGTTTCTTAATAGATAATAAATAGATAATAGAGTATTAATAGATAATAAATGACAAGACTGGAATTCTAACCCAAGTCTGATGGCCTCTACAGCCTGATCACTATCCAGTATTACACATATGTTTTGGAAGCGGAACTTCTGCCCTGATGCTATAATTTTGGGCATGATGGATAAAATGAGCTTTAGCAACATCTTTTACTATATTATAACTAGGAAAACCCCTTTTAAGTGTCCAAATTTAGGAAGTAATTCAGTAGAAGTTGAATTTAGCAGAGTATTAAATTCTTTGATGAAAAAAAAAGTGTAACAGGTTGTTTAAGGCTGTAAGAGATGGACTTACTCAGCAGCAAACCTTTCGTAGATAGATTACATATGCGGTTACTTTGCCATAGGGATTGAAAGATGGATTTGGTCCCTCTCTAACATTGAGACTCCTAACTCTAGTGGAGGAGATAAGTAGCAGATCTGTAATAGTCTGTAATAGGTAAGTATATTCATGTAGAAACATGTATCAGAAAACCTAACTCTGTTTGGGGCTTCGAAATGTCCCATAATACTTCTAGAAAGAAGAGGTGAGTGATGTGTTAAAGGATGGATAGGAATTTGCCAGATTGAGAAGTGAGTTGAAGGGAAGATGGTGCTTGTGTTTTCAGCAGAGGAAGCAAACATATTTACAATCACAGAAATGTGTAAGAGCATATTTTATTCATAGGTGTGCACATGTTACTTGTCCTGATGGAAGTGGAGGCTGAGATTGGGAAAATTGAGCAACGTTAAAAAAAATGAAGCCCCTGTGAGCCACACTAGGGTTGTAGCGACTCGCCAGAGGAATTTCAGATAGAACAGTGTCATGTTTGAGTTTTTGAAAGCTCACTGGCAGTGGTAATGGAAGGTACTTGAAAGGGGGTAGATGGAAGGGGAGGTTAGAATTTGGGAGAGCAGTAAGGAAACCATTGTAAGAGGCCAGGTGGACAAAGTTGAGGTCCTAAATTACCTAGCAAAAGGCAGTCAGAATGGAGAGGGGATCGATCAGAGGCTTTTTAGCCTCATTTTGTAAAATGAGTTTTATAAGTAGAATGAATGTGGTTTATTGGTGGGAAGGAGGTAAAAGAAGAAAAATAGGACTATTTTTATCTTGCTTAACTGGTGAGATTGTTACCACTATCTAAAATTTTCCATACCAGGGTTGCCTGGGTGGCTCTGTTGGTTAAGGGTCCAACTTCAGCTTAGATTATGCTCTCGTAGTTTATGGGTTCAAGCCCCACGTCAGGCTCTGTGCCCACAGCTCAGAGCCTGGAGCCTGCTTTGGATTCTGTCTCTCCAACTCATGCTCTGTCTCTCTGTCTCTCTCAAAAATAAATAAAAACATTTAAAAAAAATTTAAAAATTTCCATACCATTAGAACATCAGACTCTCCCATTGAGTCCAAGATTCGTTGAGTTTCAGGTGTTTATAGTATATTCAAAAGGTGTAGGTAACCAGAAGGCATTTGGAGATTCACTCCTGGGGCTTTGGAATGCTTTCTGCCTCCCTATCCCCTCTTTTGGTCCCGGGTAGGATGAGTAGTAGATTTTTTGTTCCCACTGTGCACCACTAGCTATGTGGGATTAGTATCAGAGAAGAATAAGGTTAAGAGATTTGATATTTTTCTAATAGTTTGGCTTGTTTTTATCTCTTAATGATATTCCTATAAAAATTGATTATCTTCAAAGGTGACTCCTGGCGTATGGGATGCTTGGTGATGGTACATTCAAATTGTTATTTTATCCAAAGATTACACATTTTTTTAAAAAAAAGTTTATTTATTTTGAGAGAGAGGGAAAGCAAATCCCGAGCAGGATCCACACTGTCAGCGTGGAGTCCGATGTGGGGCTCCATCCCACGAACCATGAGATCATGACCCGAGCCCGATACTAAGAGTCAGACACTTAGCTAACTGAGCCACCCAGACGCCCCAGGAACTCATTTATTTAAGAGCATGTGTGAGACCTCCAGGTCACTGTTTCTAAAGATGTGGTTTAGAACCCCTGGCTGAGCTGGCTTGTTTTTCCTTCTCCTTTCCCAGCCGTCCTTGAGATACAGTACCCAAGTGCTACTTCTTTTCCTGGTCCTTATTATCCTTCACCAACTCTGAAATGGTGGTAGATTGGAATATATTATTGTGCACTTAATTTCATAATCTTTTGTCATTAAGTTGTAAATCATTGAGGGCAGGGATTTTTGTCTGTGCCCTACCATCTTTCCAGTGCTGATAACTCTGTTGTGATTCATAATACATGCTCAATGAATGTTTGAATTACATTGTTTACTGTTATGGACAAATGAGACTTAACTCTTTGCTGAGATACATAAGCTCCTGGCTAATAGGAACCACGCCTCATACTATGTGTCATCTAGGGGGCTGGACTCCATAACTGCGCTTAAATACTGGGGGACTCGGTTTACTAAACCTTGGGTCATCTGCCAGGTAGAAGGCACTGTGCTGGGTGATAATGGGATGCACAGGTGATTAACACTCCTGCCTTTGTGGCACATTTGTCTGTTGAGATGGGATTTAGTCAGTACACAAATAGCAGAAACACAGCAGTTACCAAGTGAACTCCCGAGGCAGGCCTAGATTCAGTTCCTGTGTCTGTCCCTTTAGTACCTGTCTGTCTGAGCAAGTTTCTGACCCTTGTTTGTTTATTTCTATAAATGAAGCCCTCTACTACCTCATAGGGTTGTTAGGACCTTTAAAAAGAAACGTTACTGGCATTTTGCGTTAAGTTCTTACTGTTATATAATAATGCCATGGGATAGAGACTTGCTCTAAGGCCAGATTTAGAGGTTGGAGAGATTACTTCTGGACTGAGGCAGGGGAAGCGGCAGAGCTTCGTGGCGAAGATGCCATTAAAAATGGAACTTGAATAATGATAGAATTTATAAGGTGGCAGGAAGAGGGATAAGATTTCCTAGAGTGGGAAGGATAAGCTATGAACAAAGTAAAGAAGTTGGGAGAATGCAGTGTGTTTCTTGAAAGCAGAAATTCCCCTCAGTAAACTCTCTTTCTGCCATCCTCACACCACCTTCTCTGGGTAATTACCTAAATTGGCAAAGGATGTCAATCTGCTCAGCCGCGCTCCCTTCTCTGCCATTCCCTCACCTAAGAACACAGTTGTCTTTCAAATCTAGACTTTCTGGGTAGAATGCTTTATGACTGAATTAACTGCTCCTGTATTCTTAATATCACTGCCCGCCCCCCCCCCCCTTAGGTTGTGTACTTCTTGAGAGCAGAGCAAATTATGTTTTAATTAGTTGGGCTTCTTCAGCCCTCGAGTATTGTCCTTGACACCTAGTAATCGCTCAGCTTCTTTCAGGGGGTGGGGAATGGGGTGACAAATAAATAATCCTGCTTAAAACCAGTTCCAGATAAGTTTAAAAGTTTTTTTTTAAACACAAACTTTTGAAATAGATGTTTTCTGAGACCTTTGCGAATGCCCATATCTGTGAATACTCCTGTAGCATGTAATTTTCTGGATTAGAAAGCTGGGGGCAATGAGGATTTAATGAAATTAAGTCTTCATATTTATTACATTTTAAGATGTACTTAAGAAACATTTTTTTTCAGTGTTTCCAGCAAGGTGCTTGAAATTCAGAGGAAATGCACAATATAATCCTAGAACAAAGCTTATCATATTAATAACTGCATGCCAAAAAGTCACCCGGCTGTTTACAATTTTGTTTATACTTTAAACATCGCTGATTCTTTTTCTCTAACTAGTGACTGATGGCAGTTGTGGGATAAGTACTCTAGTCCCTCACACTTGGGCAGGATGACTCTGGGAAAGGGCAAGGTGATTTGGGAATGTTCCGCACTGTCTACCAGAGATCCCGAGCAGGATTCCGACCCAGCTATAAAAACCAGCCATACTGCATGCACCCTTCACTGGCTTCTTTCCCCTCCCTGCCTCACTTCTCCACTCCCTTACTGGTATTTGCTAGGGTCACTTCCTGAGTAAACTACTTATCATAAAACCTCTGTCTCAGGGTATGCTTCTGGGGAAATGCTACCCGAGACTGCATGGCAAGAAGCATTCCTTTTGTACCGCAAAAGGAATCACTTGATGTTTAGAGCCCCACATGTAAATGGCTAGGTGTTTTTTTTTTAAACACTAAAATTTTCTTCTAGGATTATTTTGTGCATTTCCTATGAATTCTGACTACTACCTTCCTGGCAGCACTGAACATAAAATTAAATCTAGTTAAAGAAACAAGGAACCAGAGAAAGAATACAGATAAAAGCAAGAGAGAATAGGATAGCACAGTCCAAGCATTTTCTTATTCCTAAATAATACGTTTTTGTTTAGATGTGCCTATGGAATTCTGCTTCATAATTTTTTTTAATTCTTTTTTTTAATGTTTTTAAAAATTTATTTCTGAGAGAGAGAGAGCGAGAGCAAGCGAGCCAGCACGTGAGCAGGGGAGGGTCAGAGAGAGAGAGAGGGAGACACAGAATCTGAAACAGGCTCCAGGCTCTGAGCTAGCTGTCAGCACAGAGCCCGACGCGGGGCTCGAACCCATGAACCATGAGATCATGACCTGAGCCGAAGTCGGATGCCTAACCGACTGAGCCACCCAGGTGGCCCCATGTTTTTTAAATTTTAGGGCAGATTTGATTAAAAACAAACCAGAGAATGTCTCCAAGTTGGATCGTGTGCCATTGGCTGACTCATCACTGTTACTTTGGTGTTCTAGAAATATATTGTAAATATATTGTAATGCAGGGTAGTTTTATGACTTAAAACATCTTGGATACTGTATTTTATATAAACATCATATGCATTAGACATAAAGGCTTTTCCTAAAATTCTCTTTTTTCCTTTATTTGCAGAATGCTGCCTTTTTATATGGTCTTGGTTTGGTCTACTTCCATTACAATGCATTTCAGTGGTAAGTTGACATAAAACTAATAACTCCAGTTATTTACAGCAAATGACTAGTTTAATATTGTGTGTGTACGTATAATAAAATCAAAGTATTTTAGCGTCACTAAGCCTGTAGTTTTCAGTAATCTCTTGAAATGATTAGATTGTTCCTTCAGAAATATTGACCCACTCTAGGTTGTTAGAGTTGTACATGTTCCTAAAAGAATATGGTATGAGATTCTGATTAAGGAAAGCTTAGATTGGAAAGCTTTTGGAATTTCTCAGTTACTCATTATGAATCGGTGGTCCCCAGGTAATTTGAACTGGAGAATGACTATACTTTCAGATCTCAAGGTCTGTGGATAAATGATCTTTGATGACCAGGATTTTTACCTTTTTAAACTTCTAGACAAGATTGGCTGTTTTCGCCCTTTTGTTCTCACATGCACACACATGCTAGTACTTTCCAATTTGCAGTAACTTAGGCACCAGGTTACAGGCTCTCAGTTCTCTCATTTATATGATAGAAATAATGTTACTACTTTCAGAGTCAGAGATTAAATATGATAGTAGTACACAAGATTTTATAAACCTTAAAGTGTACGGCCCTATTGTTACGGCCTTTGCCCCATTGTTGTTTTTCTTGTTTACCAGACAAAATAATAGTGTTCTCCAATGGAAATAACGTAGAATTTGAGTTGGAAGACTGGTATTCTGGTTCAGTGTTGTCACTTAATTTGATCTTGAATTAAATAGACTCCCTAGATCTGTTTCCTCCAGTGTGTGTGTGTGTGTGTGTGAGAGAGAGATTTTTTTAAGTGTATTGTAGTCACTTACCTTTTCTACTTTACAGAGTTTTGATCAGATGGGATAATGTACACTTTGTAAACCATAAAGCCCTATCTAGACATTTTTTATTTGAAGCATATCCAGTTTTGTCAGAGTCCCTTCTGTTCTCCATAATTTTAACCTGAGTGAATGCTATGAGAGTCCAAAGGAAGGTTTTGGCCAAAGGTTATAACCCTGTCATCTACTTGTTGGGCACCCTGGGTATTTATTATAGAGCCTTTTTTTTTGTTTAAAGAAGCCTTATTTTTTAACTTATTTATTTATTTATTTCTGAGAGAGAGAGAGAGAGAGAGAGAGACAGCGTGAGCAGGGGAGGGTCAGAGAGAGAGGAGACACAGAATCTGAAACAGGCTCCAGGCTCTGGGCTGGCAGTCAGCACAGAGCCTGACGCGGGGCTCGAACTCACGAACCTTGAGATCATGACCTGAGCTGAAGTCGGACGCTTAACCGACTGAGCCACCCAAGCGCCCCTATTGTAGAGCTTTTAAGTACAAATTGGCAGTGATTCAATATGGTTTCCCTAAACATGAAGCTGTAGACTTGGATGACTTTTTCTGTATACTGTTTCTTCCCTCTTTTGGTTCTGTTGGGTTTTAATCATCTGTGGAAACACTACATTGTCAGAGAACAGCTATGTGTCTATAAAGTATTATAATCATTCAGGTCACTCAGTTTGTTTGTAAACTCTACAAAACTTTAATTGATCTTCATGAAGAAGCTTCGTAATTTTTTTTTCTCTTAAGTTGTCCATTACTGTAGGGCAATCCTAAACTTAAGCCTCTTCACCTCATGTTCAGTGCATCATATTTAAAACCAAGGATAGATTAGGACTGTTTTAAAATACCTTTAGTTTCTTGAAGATCCTGTTGATAAAACACACAATTCTAAACTTTTAGAACCAGAAGTGGTCTTAGACATAACTTTATTCCCTAAATTTTGTAGATGATGAAAGCAAGGTGTGTGTGTGTGTGTAACTCTGTATCACGTAACTGTTTAATTAGTGGCAGAAGCAAGATTATGCCCAGTTTCCCCAATCTAATGTTTTGTTTTGTTTTGTATTATACTCTGTCCCCAGGTTTGAAGATTGACAGGTAGTTATTCTTTCCACAAGTAATTTAGGTTAAACCTGAGGCAAGGAATTCTGTAGTTTAGGAAGGGACATGTATACCACACAGCAGCCATTTTTTGCCTGCCTGTGATAACTTGTAAGCTCCCTGTAGATTGAAGATACAAACATAAACTCGCTAATGAAGTGAAACCATCATCAGTTCAAAATTGGATTGCTTTAATAAGTATGTGACCATGTCAGCCTAGGAGACTTCTTAATATTACATACTTCCTTATCAGTATATGATTTCTGTATCCTTCAGTCGACCTAAGAAATGAAACTGAATGATACAAGGACAATGCAATGTCTGAATTAACAAGTGTCCCCCTGCTCTCTGGATTTTATCCTGGTCACCACCATTTTCTTATGTTTTCAGTTTCGACTCTGGCTGCTTCCTAAAATGATGTATTTCACCTCCTATCTGAATCCATCCTAGCTGTGTGTTTTCTCTTTTGCTGGGCAGATGTTTCTCACAAACTGTGTGCCCCAACTTTTGTTTTTAACTTCTCTTGCCATTTTTTGAAGAGCTGCAGAATTAGTCTGGAGTAGGTGCTTGGTGAGTTTCCGAGTACAGCCATAAGTGATAGGACCTTCTTTAGTTTTTTTAAAATTGTGTTTTATTTGGTTTTACTTATAAGTAGCTGTTAATTGCTGGGATCAGGCATTTTTGTTTTTTCTGAAATTATTTACATGAAATTAGGAGATTTCCTTTAAAAAAATGTTTCTAGAGAAGAGTGTGTTATACCCTTTTTTGTATTGTCAGCTCTAAGGATCTTCCTAGGATATCCCAGACTGCTGTATCTTTACTACATTTGTAATTTAAGTTCAATTTGGCATTTGGTAATGGTTTCTGTCAGTGACTGATTATTAGATGAAGTATTTGGTGATAATGTGTGTGACCAACATGTGTGTTGGGGTGGGTGATGGTGACTTAATGTTATCGAGAACAGTTTTATTAATTATAGTTTTATCTCTTAACTTGTTTGCCTTGTTTCTTGCCATATTCTGCCCATTTCTTCTTTTGGAGTTGATTTTATTGGTTAGCTTCTAGATCATTTGTTATTTGGTCAGCTCTTCCAGTGTTCAGTTGCATTCTCTCCTTAGAGGAACCTGTGTCAGAAAGTAGTAGGACAGCTGTAAAATCCTCATTGAACTTAGCATGATTATTCAGTTTTATTGTTGATCCTACTCTGTAATATGGGACCAGACTTAAAAAAGGTGTCCAGAGGGGAAAGGTACAGAAGCACAATGTAAAATACATACATCAGAGACCTAGAACCAGTCTTTATAAAGCCGTTCCTTTGTAGGCGCATGAATGCATGCCCATGCCTTCACTTGTTCTTGCTCATGAAGGTGGCACGTTGCTAGGGGTACCTTGAACTGTGTTTCTTCTTGCCTTATAGTGACAGACCTATATCCTTGAGTGAGAGGAATTAAAATACATACAGTAATAACTTATTACAGCTTGTAGCCATACTTGTAAGTATATCCCCCTGAAAATTCTTATCAGTCCTCTCGTTCTAGCCTCCAGCCTTTTGTATTCCCACCGATCAGTATTACAAGGCTCTTAGGGTGGCAGATCTAAGAGATAATGGTTCTGTGCTAGAGGCATAGATTTTTGGAAATTAAGCTCCCAAATCTAATTGATAGCCTGGTAAGGAAATGTGATTATTGTTGACTTTGAAAAGGGTTAGGGGAATGAGGTGGAGGGGAGTACAAAAACAGAAGTATTAACACATCACAAGTAACTTTTCTTTCTTTCTTCCTCCCTCCCTCCCTCCCTCTCTCTCTCTCTCTCTCTCTCTCTNTCTCTCTCTCTCTCTCTCTCTCTCTCTCCCTCCCTCCCTCCCTCCCTCCCTCAAGCACTGTACCAATCAAAGTGTTCTTAAAACTGTAGGAATCTCTGTCCTCCATTGTGGGGACCACTTCAGGTACAAATAAACCTAATGTCATTGTGATACTACCACTGATCCTGAGCCTTGTCTAGCATGGTGTCTGGCAAAAACTTAATATTTAAGATATATTTTTGAACTATCATAATATAAAGTAATGCTCTTAGATCTAAAGCTTAATTTAAGTATAGTTCCTTTAAAATGAAACAGTTCATGTTAACATGTGTTGTTTATTATGTACACTTCTGTTTTGACAAAACTAGCATTTTAACTGAGGCAGCTCTGGTAAAGTTATGCTTTCCAGTGACACATCGATTGCTAGAGAGAATTTGGAAGGGCTTGGGCTAATTAAGCTCCAGGGAAATTATGGATAAAAACATAAATCTTTGCAATAGGGGAAGGGAAGAACTCTCCGACTGTTTAGGATAATGAAATGAAGACTGGCTAGTAAGAGCAGAAAAAGCCATGAAGTGTAAAACATTAGTAAATGGCAATGTGAGAAACTCTTGTGTGATATTTTCTTCTTAAGTTTATTTATCTGTTTTGTGAGAGCGAGAGAGCAAGTGAGCGTGCGCATGGAGTGGGGGTCAAAGAGAGAGAATCCCAAGGTGAGATCATGACCTGAACTGAAATCAAGAGTCTTCAGGAGTCCAATGCTTAACTGACTGAGCCACCCAGCGCCCCTGTTGGGTGACATTTCTGACTTAGCCTCACATTTAAGGTCCTCTCTGGGTCAACCTCAAATGATCCTTCTAGTCTGCTGTTTCCCTAAATATATTCTTTGTGTCGGTCATAGTATATGAACATTTCCCTGAAAATGTTATTAAGCAATTTTCTTTACCTCTGTAACTTTGTGCCATGTGCTGTGTTTGGTCTGCTTTCTCCTACCATCTCCACCTTTAAGTATCCTGCCTTGTTTGTCTCTTTGATTACTTCATCAAATCTTTCTATTTGTCTCATTTAAAAGGAGCCTGTAAATCTCCTAATACGTATGTGTGGAAGTAGATATCTGTTGTGTGTATACATGTTATTACTGATTTAGAGCTAGAATATTCTCCCCTTTACTGGTATGAAATTTTATGGTATTAGACCATTTATCCCTTCAGATATCCCTGAGGAAATCTCTGGACTCTGCTTTATTAGTCTTAGAAAAGTTAAATGTTTTATTATGTCTCTTTCCAAATGTATTGAAACTGTGCTAGGAACATTTAGTTAATATCATTATTTTTACTATAGTTTGGTAAATTCCTGAGAAAGCCTCTTCTTTTTAATGACTTTCCAGAAACAACAAAATGTGCATATTGCTGTGCATAATTATCATGGGCATTTTTTCCTCAAAAATCTAAAAAATGTAGGGTTTTATATTGCCAAAATTATTTCTAGAGACTATCTTTTAATATTTGAAAACTGCAAACCTTTCCAGGCATTGTATCATGAAATCATTTTGTAGTTTTGTGGAGCCATTTCTCACGTTCTAAAATTCTCTGTCAATCAGAATACTGAAGTCAACGGAATTTGTATGTCTTGGTATTTTTAGTCTAGCTTGTGGTGCAGCGGTCATGTTCTGCTACCTGCAGTTTGGTGAGATAAGAATGTGGTAAAATGATCAAAATTAGAATGTAGTCTAAGTGGTACCTATTTTCTCCACACACTCTCCTACTTACACATACACGTACACACACACTACCTTTTTTCTTTTTTCCCCTAAGGTGGGGATAAACTGAGGAAGCACACAGGAAAAATAGGTAAAAGTTTAGAAAAGGAAATGAAAATGAACCTAGATATTTTTGATTAGATGAGGGGAGCTTAGTAAATAGACTGGATCATTGCTGTCCCTGTCCCCACCAGAAGCCCGATCAGCCGACTATACAAGTGATGGCATTAGTAAACATCTGTTAAAATTAACCAATTTCTGTATTATTTAGAGAATTAAAAACAAAAGAGGGGGCACCTGGGTGGCTCATTTGGTTGAGCATCCAACCTCAGGTCATGGTCTTGCTGTTTGTGAGTTCCAGCCCCGCATGGGGCTCACTGCTGTCAGCCTGTCAGCACAGAGCCTGCTTCAGATCCTCTCTTCCCCTCTCTCTGCCCCTACCCTGCTTGTACTTTCCTCAAAATAAATAAATATTTTAAAAAGTAAAGGAGAAATGTAGACCTCAAGGAATAGGCCACTTGGAAAGACTGGAGATAGTACATCGCTAGGTAGAGAATAACGTGATTTGATTATAGAGTGGACCTAACTGCTGGTTAACCCTAAGCAAAAAAATAGTCGGTGTTGAGTTTGGGCGGTCAGTCTTTTAGGGAATAGTGGATTTAGGGTGAAGCAGAAGAATGAAAATATTTCAGATTAGGAGACCATTCTGAAGAGAAGCAGCAAAGTTGAGAGGGCCAGTATTTGCAAAAGGAAATTTCTGAAATAAGCCAGGTCACAGTTGACGAAGAACAATATTGGCTCATAACTGGGAATAGAGTTGAATAGGTAGTACGTATTGCTCACATACCTTAAATGCTACGTGGAGATTTGACTTAAGAGTATCATGATTAGTAGACAGTTACAGGAGCCACATGTTTAAAGAAACAGGGAAGCCAGAACAGAGCAAGAGTAGTCCTTAAAGAGTCTATTTCAGTAATCTAGTAATGAGATGCTGAATGTTCAGTCTGCAAGGTACTGAATTTGAGGAAACCTGTGAAACAACAATGGGAAGACCTTGATGTTTGGATCTGTGCTGGCCATGCCGTCTCATGGGCACTTTTAATAGTCCTTAAAGAGTAAACATAGGGTAACCTACACTAATATGTTGGAACACCTGTTATTGCTCATAGGTTAATCTGTGTTTGTTTTTAATTTACAGTGTGTTAACATACATAGAAAACTTGTTAAAAATAAACCTGTTTCTTTGTACTTGTGTGACATTGTGAACCAAGTGGATAAGATGTCTGCACCAAAGGCACCTATGGAGTAAAAACACACCTCCAGATTTAGGGGGTTCAGAAGAAAGGCTGGAGATAGAAACTAAGGCAGAGTAGGAAATAACTTTCTCCCGAGGGCTGGTTTCTGATGCTGTGTGTTCCCCCTACTGCTTTTTCTCACATGCCCTTCCTTAGACCAGTTTTCTTTCCTAACTCCTTTTTTCTCCTTTATTTCTTCTTTTCTTTGCTGTCTTCCACTTCCATTCTTCTTCTTTCATATCTTTGACTCAGGCCTGCCTGGGTTTTTTATCGGCACCTGTGGACACTGCTTCGTTCTGACCTATTCTGCAAGAGTTTTTTGACCCATATTGGAAGTTAAGGTTAATTAGCATTTTATGAAGTATCACCCACAATTTCTGTTACTACAGAATATAACATACTTAAAAATATACAAACCTAAGTATATATCTTAACATGTTATTTATAAAATAAACATTCATAGCCATCATTTGGGTCAAGAAATAAAAATTGCTAATAGCCCAGAAGCTTCTCCAAACCCCTGCATTACCCTTTCCCAATTGTATCATGTTTTACTTGGCCTCCTTTACAGCTGCAGGGTTTTTTCCCCTAACCTTTTGATATGCTCTCTCCCGTCCTCCCCAAATTGCCTATTTTATTAGAAGGCGGTAGCACCAGCCATGACCAGGAGAATAATAGAGGCTGAACTGGCCCTCCTCTTATTAGAAAGGTCTGAGAAAAGTACAAAGAGAACCTCTTAACAGGCAGAGAAGTATCTTAAAGTCTGAGGAATAGAAAGCTGCCTTTGAATGAGAATGGTAATTTACACCAGTTCTTTTCTGTCAGATCTCTAACTCCCTTCTTCTATCTGTATACATCAGATAACACCCACCCACCCATTTAGAAAGCCATCTAACAGGTAGATGTCACCCTCCTCTTTAGGAAGAAGGTATTTTATCAGGTAAAGAAGTATCTGATGCCAGACCTTTTGTCCCCCACCCCTCATGATAAACATTACCTTTTAGAACCCTTAATTTTACAATAAACATGGACATAGCCACACACAGTTGTTTTTTGGGGGAATAGATCATGCGTGAATCACAATAAAATTACTTAAAAGCCATAGGAAGTATTGTGCTCTTTTGAGTTACGGTATTTTGATATAAAAGATTGACTTTTCTTTTGGAATCATCTATGATTCTAAATAGCCACCTTTCTAGGATAAGTAGAGGCAGAGAATAGTTGATAAGCTTTGTACAGAATATATTAGCTGGTACTTGTGCTAAGTCTTAAGTAATGTAGAGAGATTTAAAATGATGATCAACATATGTTACAGCTGGTATTTATCATCTTCAAAATTCAAAGTACACATTTTTCCTTATGATTTTAATTTGTTTTTTAGTAGGTGCTACATTTACATGATCACATTAAGGCATATAAAAATGGATTCAGTGAAGAGTGTTCTTTATGCTTGTATTTGCTCTACTGGGTATCAGGGCCTTTTATTAAAGACAAATTGTGAATCTGGGGCAAAAATAGGCTGATAGACCAATGGAAAGTGATATATGGTAGAAAGCCCAGAAACAGAGTCACACGAATCTGGACATTTGATTTGGGACAAAGTGGCCCTGAAGAGCTGTGGTAAGGATGGCCTTTTCTACAAATGAAGCCAGGGCTTTGGCTAGCTGTGTGGGAGATATGTATAAAACACCAGATGCATATGGATTTTAAATCAAAATCAAGAGGACAGAGTTTTAAATGAAGACTTCACTCTTACAGAATAGACTAGAAACAGGATTAACCTTTTCCTTCTTAAACATAAAACTGTCCTATCTGCCCCACCCCTCTTCCCCCTAGGAAATTCCAGAAACTGTGAAATCAGTTATTTACACTGAGAATTTTATTAAGCCGTAAAATATTATTTGCATAATTGAGAATACATTCATCGGATCTTCCTTTTCCTTTTTATATTAGATGGTATACATTCAATTCTATAAAAGACCCAGGTGCCACTTTCTACTCTTACTTGTTAAACAATACATTCATGTAAAACACATTTTCTTTAAAACCGTATTGCATAAAGCAGAAGTTTTACTGTGCTACCAAGCAAAAATTCATGCAAGTTTCAAAAAGTTAAGATATCTTATGTCTATATTCTTTCAGGGCAATTAAAGCATTTCAGGAGGTGCTTTATGTTGATCCCAGCTTTTGTCGAGCCAAGGAAATTCATTTACGACTTGGGCTTATGTTCAAAGTGAATACAGACTATGAGTCTAGTTTAAAGGTAGGTTATTGGATTTTTTTCCAAGATAAAATGTTTCATTTTGTGCACTTTTTGGGGGTAGGGTGGCGTGGGATGGGGAGTGGGTTGTTGTTAAGTATTAGAGCATTGAGAAATGTTGGAATTTATATTGGCATTGGCACTTCAAAAGAAAATTTGAAAATTTAGGTGAAAGAATTGTTTTACCAGCTATGAACTGGGAGATACACAAGGCTGGGTTTCAGGGTACAAAGTAGTTATGATCCTAATACATAGGTAACCGATTATACCATTAAACGTGGTTTTTTCTTTAAAATTTTGATAGAAGTCTGTCATCAGGAAAGGGTGGAGGTTTCAGTCTGTTTGGACATCTACATCAGCCCACTCACTGTACATGACTGATCATCTCATAGAGGTCAGAAGGAGCTACTTATCTGTGATCCCATCCCGACTGTTTATTTGCATGGGTCTCACTAGAAATCTGTTGACCTCTACCAACAAGGCACATCTCATATCTAAATTAGTAAAAAAAAGTATTCTCTGCAAGTCATTTGAATTGCCGGTTTGTGAATATAAACCTCTTTAGGAAAAGATTATACATTGTTGGTTAAATATTTTGTGTATTAATCAAAATTTGATATTTCTCCAATTTTTATTGAGTTTCCTGTGCTGTATATGCTATCACCCTAGGTCTTACTGGGCCTTTCATGAAAATAGTGCTTTCCTGTGCAGTGAAAGCATTGCTCTTTGAAGGATTAGAAGTTCTAGGAATAAAGTTTAAGTTCTTGTGAATTTATGACTGTAATGGTTGCCGTGTTCTAAATACCTCCATAGCAGATTATTTTGATCCTCAGAGGAGGTGAGAGGGAGATAAAGAATGATAAAGAGACTTTATAGTAGGTTGTAATTTGAATTCACTATTGAGGTAGTACTTGAAGGTATTTTAAAAACTGCATCTAATTGTTTTAGACTTTTAAAGTAGACAGTTATGCAAATACTGTTTCTATCTTTCATGAGTTTTATAAAGAACAATGTTGATGATATGAAAGAATGATAAGCAGCCAAAAACACTAAAACAAGTAGATTGTGAAGTATTTTGATTATTACACAGTTGTCAAAGGTAAGTGCAGTGAGGTGAATGATGCCAGGGTCTAATGAGGTAGTGTGGAGAATAAAGGAAGCATGAAAATGACCAGTTTTCCTCAAACGTAGAGCAGCACTTCTCAAAGAGTTGCCCCTTGAACAACATGGGGGTTATGGGCGCCAACCCCCACCTCCCTGCCCCAGTTGAAAACCTGCATTTAATAATTCCTCAACGATAGATCTACTAATAGCCTATTGTTGACTGGAAACTTCACCGTTAACCTAAAAGATAACCTCAAGAGTTGCTTAACATGTGTTTTGTATGTTATATGTATCGTACACAATATTCTTACAATAAAGAAAGCTAGATAGAGGAAAAAATGTTATTAGGAAAATCATAAGGAAGAAAAAAATACATTTATACTACTGTACTGTGTCAGAAACAATCCATATATACGTGAACCCATGCAACTCAAACCTGTGTTGTTCAAGAGTCGATTGTGTACTATGGGTTCTGAGTGGGTTTAAAATGGAAAATAAGTTCAGATATGCTATCATGTATATTTTAACCTCCTCTTGGACATCCACCGTATATATTAGCTAACAGAGTCTCTTAAAATGTCTTATAATACAGGGGCGCCTGGGTGGCTTAGTCGGCTAAGCGTCCGACTTTCGCTTGGGTCATGATCTCGCGGTTCGTGGGTTTGAGCCCCGCATCGGGCTCTGTGCTGACTGCCAGCTCGGAGCCTGGAGCCTGTTTCGGTCTGTGACTCCCTCTCTCTCTGACCCTCTCCTGCTCACGCTGTCTCTCTCTCTCCCTCTCTCTCTCTCCTAGAAATAAATTAAAAAAAAAAAAATACAATCTACTTTAAAAAAAAAAGTCTTATAATACAAAAAAACTTGGTCGTTTTATAATATTGTCACAATATGACTATTACGTGTGGCAGAAGTGTTTTTGATAGCGTTTTGGTAAATGTTGCTATAATGTTTACTGTGTCATAGAATTTGTCTATCTCTGAACATCAGTCCAGTGGCGTTGTACATAACTCTGTGGTTGCAGAACTGTGTCTCCATGAAGATGGCACTATTTAAAATCCTCTTTAATCAAGGGAAACAACAAGTGTTACTGCTTACTCAGGTTCAACAGAGACCTTTCCATGTACAACTTCTGTTTGTTCAGGCATAGTTCAAGGCTAACAAACCTTCAAGCCATAGCAGTATTAGCAAAATTGTTTTACCCAAGTAAGTACAGTTTTCTTGTTAAAATACTTGATACCATTCTGATGTTTATTTCATTTGTGTGAACATAGGAAAAAAAGAGTTTCAGGAACCCTTGCTATTTCTCTTCTCCATAATGAGAAGGTTGCCTTTGATGTTTATCTCATTTTGACTTTGGCATTTATTCAGGCTTCTCTCTCCCGTATTCCTGTCTGTTTTCAGGAGAATTTAGGAATTTAGGAATCATCATTTTTAGTCGAGGAGGAGGTATTAGTATAGTATTCTAAGTGCTTAACGTTTAGTGCAAATGAAGGTAGAAGTCTGAAGGTCTCTCTCCCCTTAGGTGGCTAGCTAGCATTTTAGTTTCATATGGGTAGATGTGGCACGTCTGATGACTTTTTTCACTATGTGAAGCGGTTTCTTGGAAGCACGCTTTATTGGTAGAGATGCTTTGGGCTGCAAGCTCAGGAACTCTCAAATGAAGCTGGTTAAAATAACAATTAAAAAAAAAAAGTAGCTTGTATAATGTGAAGTACAACCTTCAGGATTGGTTAATTCAGCTGATCCAAGGTTTCATCAAGGATTCATTTTTTTCCTTCTGTTTTGGCTTATTCTGAAGGATGTTTGCCAGGTCTAATCAAAGTGAAATGTAGAAAGCCCTAAAAACTCCACCAAAAAACTATTAGAGGTAATAAATGAGTTCAGTAAAGTTGCAGGATGTAATCAAAGTGAGATGATTCATTTTTTATGTCTCCTCTAGAAAGATATTATAGAATAGTGGAATAGGTGCTTAGTACAGTGCTGGCATATGATACGTGCTTAGCAAATATCTGATCATCATGTCATAAAGAAGAAAGATCATGACTTCTTGTTGATCTCTTCAAAAAGACTTCATTTTGCAAAATGTCATTGGCTAGAAATGGGCCACATGGCCGTTCTCAGTTGATTTTTTTTTCTTTTTCTTTTTTTTAAACCAAAGATGTGGTTGCTCTTAGACCAGTTATGTCCAGATTTTGAGCCAGGCTCAGTTCCCTAAATACACTGTTCCTGGAATGAGGGGTGGGTAAAGCAAGTGGTATGGGGCAATGTGGACACTCTGTCCATTACAGATCAGGTCTCCTGCACCTCATTTTCTTTCTCCCTTACGCCTGAAGAGGCAGTATATACAGGTTGTCGATCATAAAATGCAGTTTATTTCCATAGTAGATTTCTTATTTTCACCTACACATGAAGTGGATTCCAGGGCCTCCTGTTTGATTTGTATCTCTGGTAGTAGCTTTTTTACCAAAATGTATCTCTGAAACCGATTCATTCTGGTGTGATACTGTAGAAACAGCTCGCAGAGCTAGCACATTTGGTTTTAAAATGTGACCCTGCCATATGACTAATTGTGTGACCTTGGGCAAGATGCCTTACTCTTAAGTTCTGGTCCTCTCTCTACGTCTGTAGTACTAGAGTAACTGTCCCCATTCTACAAGATTATTGTAAAAATTTATATGCATATCAAAGTATCTGACATGTTTTTTTCAGCCTTCTCTTTTTAGTTCTCAGTTTGTCTACTATCTATCCAAAACTCCTCAGTTTGGGGCCAGTTTAGATACTGTTTGTGAAATCCATGTTCCCATCCTAGAATTTAATACTAGTATTTTTGTTACTCTGCCCATCCTCAGAAATGTGAAGTTAATGCCCAGCTTACTTTCCAGTCATATGGTGTTACTTTTCAGTTTGCCAGTAGAGATGTCATGGGTTTAGTGAGTGGTGGAGGTATCGGTTCTTAATTTATTAACTAGCTTAACATTATCTGAACCAGAGTCCATTCCAGGGTGACATTTCTACATGGCGTTTGTTGTCTTTCTTCCTTGTTTCTTTTTTTTTTTTTTTTAAATGTTTTATTTATTTCTAGGAGAGAGAGAGAGAGACAGCGTGAGCAGGGGAGGGTCAGAGAGAGAGGGAGTCACAGACTGAAACAGGCTCCAGGCTCTGAGCTGGCAGTCAGCACAGAGCCCGACGCGGGGCTCGAACCCACGAACCGTGAGATCATGACCAAAGCGAAAGTCGGACGCTTAACCGACTAAGCCACCCAGGCGCCCCTTTTCTTCCTTGTTTCAGATGATATCCCCCGCAGGTGGATTTGGTTGCCTCTTTACGCCATATAATTAATTCAGGATTTTATTTCATTACTTTTTAATGGTGTTAATGGTAATTGCTTATATTCGTTATAGATTTCAGGCAGTGCACAATCATTATTTCAATAAAAGTACGCTAATTTTGACAAATAGTTTTATATAATGCCTCCAATTTTCACATCCTGGCAGACTGTTAATTATTTCCTTCATGTGAAGGAAGGAAATGCAAAATAAGATGTAATGACACCCATATTCTTCAGTCAGTTAATGCCAGTGCATCTATTTCATTTAATGAAGATTATGTAGAAATTCTTAATATTTACATATTTAAGTTTCCCTAAATATGTCAACATTGGAACTTTTTTGGATTTGAAAGGTAAAGACTGGCTTTTTTAATGAGAACCTGTGGGTAATTAGCTAGATACCAGTATGAGTTCCCTTATAATTTGGTATTTAAGGATGGTGAGTGCTAATTTGAAAGGGTTACTGTGAAAGAGGAAGAAGAGAATTACGGAGACCATTCAGAGGAAATGGCTTGAACCCAAACGAGACGAGACGTGGATGCTTGGCATTTTACCAAGTGTTTAGTGTTTCTTG